GAAGGAAGGAAGGAAGGAAGGAAGGAAGGAAGGAAGGAAGGAAGGAAGGAAGGAAGGAAGGAAGGAAGGAAAAGAGATGGGCAAGGAGGGAGGGAGGAAAATACATATAAATGGGCCTCCCAGTACACTTAAAGAGTTTGGAGAAAGCAAGATACTTGCCCTCAAGTTGCAAGAAGTAAAACAAGATTTACAGAATCTTCTATAGTATTATCAAATATAAAGAGCACAAGTGTATAAATACATGGATAAATACATAAGAATATATATCTCTTTAAACATTTAAATACATTTGTATCATGTAGGAACATAGGATATAGAGCTGGAAGAACCTTTAGTCCTGTCCCTTCATATTACATATGGGGCAGCTGAGGTACATGGAGGAGGAATGACTTGCCAAAATCACACAGAGAATACATAACAGAACTTGAATTCAAACCCAGATCTGACTCCTAATTCTGAGCACATCTTCACATGAGTGAAAACAGTATCTGGATGGTTTTGTTGCTAGCAGTGCCAAAGGTAAAAGCTAGTTACTATTCAATATAGGAAGACTTAGAGTCAGTCACAGGGATAGAGAACCTATAGCCTCGAGGTCACATGTGGCCTCTAGGTCCTCAGTTGTGGTCTTTTGACTGAGTCCAAGTTTTACAGAACAGATCCTTTTATTAAGGGAATTTGTTCTGTGAAGTTTGGATTCAGTCAAAGGGCTGCTTTTGGGGGCCTAGAAGGCCATATGTGGCCTTGAGGGTGTAGGCTCCTGACCCCTTGGTAGGAGATTCAAATTCTGTTAAGAATTAAAGGACAGAGGGGCCATTGAGGAGAGCAGGGAGATTATGTGAATCATGAGGGATTTCCTGTATTCATTGCCCGTCACTGGAGATCACTTGAGCAGGTAGGATTCCTGCTCAGCTATGGATTAGAAGAGATAATTTGTGATACCCCTTCCAAGTTTTAGATTCTGTGATTCTATGATTTTGCAATCTCATGGTTGTTTTTCCAGTGATTCATTTGCATCGGCTATTAGTCCATTATTGCTTCTTTATAATTAGCCTAAGACTTTTGGGTCTTTAGATAATAATCTCCTTTATTTCAAGGGGAAGTGTCTAATTTATCTCTGTATCTCTAACCCCTCAGTCTTTCTCACAGTGTAGAAGAAATTTGGCACTTAAAAAAGTTTGTGCATGCATAGCTTTTTGTGCATCCTGAAATTGTTAAACAGCTAAATAATATAGGACCCATAGTTAAGTTTTCCTTTATAGCTGAAAATAAAAATATTTATTTCACCTGATTTTATTTTTAATTGGAATGAAACTGCAAATTGCAGATTTTCTGGTAATAATGTATGGCTCAAGTTATTTTGGCAAATAATTCAATTCTGTAAGCATTTATTAAGTATCTACTGTGAGCATTTATTAAGCATACACTGTGAGGAGCTACTGGGAACTTAAAGATAAAATAAGACATATTCCCTGCCCTTAAGGAGCTTACAGTCTAGTAGAAGAGTTTAGACTTATAATTGGATACCTATCTTTAATAGAGGGAGAATAGGAAAAAGTACAAAGCAGAGTCCTAAACAAAAGTGTAATGCCAAATGGGAGGAGTAAAAGATCACTTGCAGATGAATGAGACTGAAAAAGCCTTTATGGAGGAAGTGTCCACTAAACTAAAACTGGTAAAGGATTTCAGTAGGCAGAAATTTGTAGGTATGTTTTACAATGACAAGTCAACTTAAAAACTGAAAATAATCGAGAAATGACCCAAAAAACGTTTGTACTGTATTTTCAAGTATAACATGCATGTTACATGTGACATATGCATCACACTTTAGAGTGTAAATTCCCGATAAGCACTGAACCTATCTCCTATGGTTTTTATAGCACTTTTATGGAGCTCAGATTTGTTGATGTTTTTGAGTTATTTTAAGTCATTTCCAACTCTTCATGACCCCTATTTGGGTTTCTTGGGAAAGAAACTGAAGTGGTTTGCCATTGCCTTCTCCAGCTCATTTTGCAGATGAAAAAACTGAGGCAAACAGGGAGGGTTAAGTGACTTGTCCAAAGTCACACAGCTAGTAAGTGTCTAAGGCCAGATTTGAATCCAGGATGATGAGTCCTCCTGACTCCAGGTGGGGCACTCTATCCACTGCCTGATACTTAAATGTGACATAACAGCGTCAGACTAGTCTCACTTTGGACAGATGTAGTGTAGAGGAACTTACAAGGAAAGATCACCCAGGCATTCTAAGCCAGTGTACAAATGGTTCATGTACAACTAGTAAAGAGGGCTCTATCTCTCTCCAGAGTTGGGTTATTAGGCTTGGCAAAAGGATAAGCTTGACCTAGCAGGAAGAATTCCCAGGCAAACAGACATAAGACAGATGAAAAGCAGTATTGTCCTTCGAAATAGGCTTTCTTCAAACAGAAACAACCAACATGATACATTTCTTCTCAAATGTAACTGCTCTCATTAACTTCACCAGAGATGGTCTTCATCCTTATTTGGTCTTGCTCTGCGTTGAAGCGGTTACTTTGTGTTTGTTCATTTTGAAGGTATTTGAAGTCCCAAAAGAGAAGTAGATTTTTTTTTAATTGTAAGATGGCTACATCCTGAGATAAAGCTACAAGGACAATGCGGAGGCTGCATCGTGCTGTGAACAAAGTTTTAATTTTTAGTCAGAAAACACTGGTTCAAATTATGGCTCTTCTACCTGTATGATCATGGGCAATTCACTTAATTTCCTTGTGGTATCAGTTTTCTCATCTATAAAACAAGGAAATCTAGGGGCAGTTAGGTATCAGAGAAGATAAGAGTGCTTGGCCTGGAGCTAGAAAGACCTGGGATAAAAGCTGGACTCAAGCACTTACTAAACTGTGTGAACCTGGGCAGGTTACTTTACCTCTGTCTGCTTCAATTTCCTCATCTGTAAAACGGGGATAATAATAACATCTGTCTTTCAGGGTTGTTGTGAGAATCAAATGAAATAATATTTATGAAGTATTTTGCAAACCTAAAAGCCCTATAAATAAATGCTAGTTATTGTTATTATTATCTATAATCCTTTAAATGGGATTCACTTTCACCCACTGGGAATGATCTCATTTATCTCAGCTTATAATGAAAGCTGTTCCAAAAATAAGGAAATGAATGAGTCATTTGCCCATGTACTGTTTTGATTCTTTTTTGGCTACATTTATTTAATTTGCATTTTATAGAAATTAATATTTTTATTTCATTGCATAATGAAATTAAGCATGTATTTACATCAGAAAGCCAGGATCATTCAACCATTAAATTGCTCTAATAATATAGCGGTAACCACTTTTATTTTTAGTTCTTTTGATGTGGGCAACACTAAAAGCCATAAGATTCAACATGGATTGTTTCAACTCGTCTTTTTTCACCTTCTTTTTAGATTGTGTAATAGCACCTAAAGGATCTCCAGGACTGCCTGGACTGCCAGGATCTCCAGGTAAAAATGTTCACTTTACCACCCCTTCCCCTCAGTTACTAGCCCTTAACTCCGAACTATAATTTTTTTTTACTTTTTCCCTTTTCCTTCTTTCTTCCTCCCTCCTCCTCTCCTTCCTCTACCATCATAAATATCATTCTCAGCTTTTTGAGGTTCATTTACTCTTGCTATAGAAGTCAATCTACTCTCATGGCATCTTGAACACAAGCTAGTGTAGCTCCCACCACAGACCTGGTTTCATTCATTTCTTCATTGCTTTTCAAAATACATGTCACAACCAAGGCAACATTGGAAGCCAAATTGAAAGGGAAGCTCCGGGTCACAAAGTGCTTACACTCAGGAAGCTGAGAGAAAGGAGTGTATAAACTGTAGTAGACACCCCCTGAAACATGTAGACTTCTTCATTCAAGACCTCTCCAAGCTCAGGAGATTTCTCTGTAAGAGAAGAAAATTTATTACTGAGCTTTCCTTCTATCTCCTAACAAAATGAAAAGCACAGAGAGAGGAATATTTCTTTTGTTTGATCTTTAGGCAGGGAGAAAATGGAAACAAATAGGGCTGAAAAGATTTTACCTCTAAAGTCTAGGTTTTGACCATGGCATTGACTGAACACACTGTCCAAAGTCCTAACGACAGATCCCTATGAATACATGATCCTTTGTAACACATCTCGACTCCTGGCCAGCTCAGCTGCTAATTCAGTGGCACAGTTTCCATTACACAGAGAAGGGCCCAGGTGGCCACAGCTGTTGCATCATGGGCCACCATCCAGTGACTTTAGCCCTTCAGTTGGGTGCCATGCTTTAATAAAGAGCTGGCAGCACAAAGCAGAGGATGCTTCCAGACATGCCCTTAATCATTGTGGGCAGGGGATGGAATTTAAGCCCTGGGAGTGCTTTATGGAAGGAATTAATGTTATTAGTGTCACACCAGAAACCAAGATTCTAGTGGCTGCAACTGGAGCTTAAATGAAAGTGTATTCTTCTTTTACATCAACAGTGGTGCGTTAGAGGGGGAAAAGGGAAACGCCATGGGCACCCAGCTAATCTCTAGGTGGCACATTCTTCTCGACCCACTATAGAGATCATTTCCCCAAAAATGGTAGCTCAAATTAGGAAAGGGTAACAATTAAGTGTGCAGTTGCTAAGCTTTAAAAGCAGCTCTGAGGTACAATCTCATGGGAACAATGGGATAAAAATATAAAAGAACCATTTGCATCATTAAAATGAAATAGGCCCCTAAGGTACAGTAGGCCCTTAAGAAGCAAGCCTTTATCTTCCTCAAAAGAGAGCATCAAGACACAATAGAAAGAGTGCTGGATTTGCCATCAGATGATACAGCTCTGAATTCTCACTCTGCCCCTTACTATCTGGGTGACATTGGGCATGTCAGTTAAATTCTCTTGGCCTTAGTTTCCTCATGTGTTAAATGAGGAAGGTGGATTAGATCAGGGCTTCTTAAATTGTGGGTCGCGGCCTTGGTAACAGGGAAAGATTTCTGAATGCACAATGAACAAAAATTAAAAATCAAACGCGTAATGAATCTAAGGTGTTTTTGGCAGCACTTAACCCATGTTGCATTGTGCAACTTCACTGAAACCTTGGTTCTGAACACACAGCATGTACACTTTGCACTGTGCATGCCCTCAGGCCACACAATGCCAGTGAACATTGCTGAAACTCGAAAAGGGTCGGGAGCGGAAAAAGTTTAAGACGACCTGGATTAGATGACCCTCCCCAAGGTCCCTTCTAACTCTCCATATATGATCTTTGCTTATTATTTTCAGTATGGTAAACTCCAATCAATCATGAATTCTAGTGTTATTTATTCCACTGTTTCTTAAACTGGGAATATAACTCCTTTTTAAGGAGTGAAGAAGGGGAGCTCTCTGGAGAGGTGGCAGATACTGGAGTTATGGGGCTTTTAAGAGTTGTTTGGTAGAGACAGAACCTGCTCTAAATGAATGGAAATTTTAGAGGATGCAAAACTTTAAGGAAATTGCAGGATAAAAACTTTAGTAATCAGTGATATAAATTAATATCTACATGTAACACCAGGTTCTATTAAAATCAGTTTAACATTTTCTCATGTTCTATTAAGCTGAAATACTGAAAAATCTATGTTATTTTAGCTATGGATAATGTGTCCCAAACTATTTAAGAAAGTAGGCCTGGAAAACAAATATGAAATCAGACTTCCAGCACCCTCATTTCTCCCTGCCAAAAAGCACTAAGATTAGTGACCAGCATAAGCTGATAATTGTTTTCCAAAGTGCCATTAATATTAAACACCTTCCTCTACATTTAATGTTTCTGTTCAGTAATAGTTATGGTGGCATTCCTCAAGTCCCTGGAAAATTAAAAAATATTTTCAAATTCTTAAATTTCTTCCCTTCTCATACAAGTGTAGCATTCTTAATTCCTGTCCTCTTTGCAGCTGTTGAAGAACTTAGATTTATTCATCCTCTTAGTTAATCCCTCACATAGCCTCAAATCCCTAATTCTAACTCAGGAAAAATGTCTTCTGGCAGGGACTGTAATCTTCGAAAAGTAAGTTTCATTTGTGTATCAGAGATGTTTGTAAATTCTTGAGTTAGATTCAAAAGACCAAAACTTTTCATAAAACTATCATCCAGTTTTCCTACATATACTAATATCGCAAAAGTCATGAATCCAGTTTTGCAATGAGATAATAGTTTTAGGAGGCAAAATATTGGTGCAATGTGTCCTATTTTCAATTTTAATAAAAATGTTCATAGCCTGATTCCTTTAATCTGGCCTATTTCCTTTCAGGCCCTGGACCAGTGGATCTGGGCCAATGTACATGTCTGTTTCCCATCCAATACATCTGTTGTTCAGAGTTCCTTTGAAAATGGTCCCTGAACACTGTTTTACGCTTATACTTTCATGTATATTTGTTTTATGAAATAGATGCCCTCCTAAAAAGTTAAATGGGAACAAAAACTTGCTTTCTTATCAAGCTTATATTATAATTTTCAGAGAAGATTAAGATCTTCATTTGTGGTTCGTCTTCATTTGGCAATGACTCCTAGCACTATCTGTCCACCCCTTCCGGTTAAAATGATTCGCAGATGCATTCTGCAAATTATGACTGGGTCATAATCTTTTTTTTTTTAAATCACTTGAATATAAAAGGGAGTGAACTACAAAAAGTCTTTGGTGAATCCTTTTATAAATCGAAAACTCCAAATACTCACTCCCTATTTTATCTACTTCAGGTTGCTGTTACACAACACCATATTGAATTTTTTCAAAGTGAGGCACTCCTATAGTTTAGATCATAGAAAGAACAGAAGTGAATCTTTTTAGTAAAATGGCTTACTGTTTCCCTGGCCACACATCGTGAGGGGTTAGAAACAGAAATCTCTGCATTGTTTACAGGCTTTGTGCTATCCACAGGGGACTTTAAGGGAGGGTTTACAAAGAATGTGAAAGATTCAAGTTTTGGTCCTTATGCCTCACTGACCCACGGTAACCTTCCTGAAGTTATTAGCTATACCTCTTACAGCCAATCCAGGTGACTTGCCTTTATCTTTTATCTTAGACTCATTACTTACTTCCCTGACCCTCACTCAAAGCCGCCATTGACCATCTGCACCAAAAAAAAAAAAAAATGCTTTTATTCATTATTGATACTTAAAGACAATTTAAACTAACTAAAGAGATTCTTTTTATAGCGTCTGACTCATTGAAATAGAATATGTACTTCCCTGCAAGGGAAAGGAAAGGTTTCTCTGTGATTTCTAAAAGTCTTATATAGGTAAGAGTTTGTAATTTATACCAGACCACCAGAGGAAGATCTCAGAAAAGTGGGTTCATTATCTGTTGACAAGAGGAAAAGTTTGTATCTCAAACTTGATTAATTTAAGAGCTATTCCATTTGGTCCTTTATAGAGTTTTTTTTTCAGGGGAATAGCATTTCTATCCCAAATTCATCTCTTATTAATGAAATCAATATTGATTACAGTTGCATTGGTGGGTACAAGATAAAGTATATCACAAGCTTTTGAGTAAAGTTCTCTAATAAAAAAAACCTTATTTTTTTGTGTTTGCAGAATACAATAGGGAAAAGTTTATAAGTTTCTGTTGAAAATTACCTATGATCACAGGATTCTAGAGACAGGAAGGGCCTTGGATATCTCTCATTTTATAGATAAGGCAACAGACTTCAAGGGGTCCTTGCAGATAGTAAAGAGATCTTTTTAGTTAGTTTTCTGAATCAGATCTGTAGAAATTACCAGGGTGGCAAAGATTTATCTGCCTTCGCGTGGCTTCCTTTCATTATAGTAGTAGTACTGCCCCAGAGAGACCAGTAACAGCCATGCATACCCAGAGAGCTGCTTCAGTTCCTCATTCCTATTGAGTTGATTACACAGTGTAAACACAGGCTGCCTCCAGGTACACAATGAGGCTTGTGATTTAGGGTCTTTGTTGATCTGTGTAATTATTTCTGTACAAAGAGACTCCCAGTGTGCTCTCTGTTCTGTTTCTCCCAGTGATTCAGTTAGACAGGCTAAGCACAGTAGAGGTGTCTTGGGATTTTGGTGTTCCACATTTCTCCATTGATTAATAGAATTCACCTGGACCTGGTCAGGGAGCCCCTTGTAAGTGATTAACACCCTTTTATGTCCTGTTCTTGAACAAAACTCCAGTTGATTTTAGGGAACTGTGTAGCAGAAGAAGGCTCAGCTAGCCCTCCAAGATTGAAATGTGCCTAAGTACTTTGAGGTCCCTTGCTTTGAGGACCAGTTTTTGTTCAGAGGGAAAAAGCAAGTTTTGGAAGGTCTGACTCTGGATAACAGAAACAGAGTGAGGATGTGAGAAAGAGCTTTGAAGTGCTGAACCAGTGTGAGATTGGCCAGGATTAACTACAGAAACACAACTTTCCTTCAGAAACAAAGTAATAAACTCTCATTTTTGGGCAACATGTTTGTTTTGCTCTTAAATCTGCAACCCGGTCAACAGAAACCGAAGTGGCTTTTTTTCTTTTTCATTTAAATGTTGATAAATACAAATAAAGAGCTTAAGAATGCATTGCCTTTTAAAAGAAAATTTAGTGCTACCTTTCACATTTACATCATCTTCATTTCCAAATGTATTGCCCCCTTTGCTACCAAGAAGCTACCCCTAATAACAAAGAGAAAAAAAGCAGTTCAGCAAAACCAACCAAAGCATTGAACAAATCTGAAAGTATAGGCAATGTTTCACATACATAGACCCCTACTTCTGCAAAGAAGAAAGGGAGATGTCTTTTTGAGATTATATTTTTTAACTTAAAGTAGGAAAAGAAAACCTAATTCTCTGATTATAAAGAAAATATACCCCCAAAATTGATTAGAACATTTAATAAATATAAGTACTTAATTTATAAATATAAATTAATTTATAAGTATTTAATTTATATTTATATAAATAAGTTTTAGGAAAAGTTTGCTGCCAAAAGTTACCACACTGGTATAATCCTCTGAAGTAGAGGAAAGAGAAATAATAGATTTTTGGGGGGAGGTCAGCTGGGTGGCACAGTAGATAGAATGCTGGGCCTGGAGTCAGGAGGACTTAAGTTTGAATTTGACCTCAGACACTTACTAGCTGTGTGACCCTGTTTGCCTCAGCTTCCTCATTTGAAAAAGGAAATGGCAAACCACTCTAGTAATACATTTGGAAGATGGCTTCACATAAATTTTTTTTTAAATCTCTGAAGTTATTACATGTTGATAAAGGCATGCGACAAAGTACATTTTTTCCAGTTAATAATGCTAAAATAATGAAAGTTCTTACTTTATATTATATCCCATATACACAAAATTAATTGCGTAATGTAAAGACCACACCAGGGAACCAGAAAGAGCCACTAATACACAATCCCTGACCTCAAAATGTGTATAGTCCAATTGGAGGCGCGGTGGATACCTAAGTAACTATAATTCAAAATAATTCATAACATATTAGAAAAATACAAAACAAAATATTATGTAACATCCAAAGTGGGAGGAATTATTTTACTAACAAAGGAGATTAGAGAAGGCTTCATGGGGGAAGTGGCAAATGATGTGAGTTTGTTAAAAGATTTAATGAAGCAGAGTGGGGGAAGGAGGACATTTTAGGTTTATGGCACAGAGGTGAGGAAACTGAGGGCACGTTTAGAAAGAATGGAAAGTAGGTTAGCTGGACTGAAACACAGAATGTGTGATAAGAAGTAATATGAGATAAGACTAGAAAGTTAGAGGAGGAGCAGATTGTAGTTGCTTTGCATCTCAGCCAGAGGAATTAGATCTTTCATTGGTAGATCATGGTTCTTATAGTTAATTCTGTTGATTTAGCCTTTTTTAATGGTGTTATGGTATGAGAGCCAGCTTGATTTGTGTCAATAGAGTCTTCTTTGTTCTGTTATTAATTACTATTAGGATAAAATAAGGATGTTTTTAAGGGGTCTAGTTCTTCCCCATTTCACATAACCATCAGTGAATTTGAAATATAGTAGTTGAACCCTGCAACATTCTTCCTTGCTTTAATTAGGGCCATCATCTTCATCACAAGCAATTAATATCTTCTGAGTGCCCTACATGATATTCTGAGTCCAGAAATTATGATAAAAAAAATCTTTACAATCAGTCACATATAGGGGGCTATTGTTTTTGCTTCTTGTAACATTAGCCATGCATCCAATGAATTTATTTTTACTAAAATACAGGGAGGATCTTCAATAAAATGAATTTGGTTCATAGAAATATTTCTTGCTCTTGGGAATTTTTTTCCAGTTTTGAGGAAATTTTCCTCTGTATTCCAAACGTCTCTTAAAACATCCAACCCTTAATTATCACAACAGCTAATAATTTATACATGTAAATAAAGAAAGTGCCAGATGATCTTATCGTTGGTTAAGGCTATCAATCAATTATGTTATTTATTTCAAATCTCTCAGAAATCTAAGTATAACTATATCCCTTTCTGTCACAGATACCACTAAGGCCTCTATCATCATCCCTATGGTACAGTAGAGCCCCTGAAAGGGTCTGAGGGCCAGGAATTAAGTTTAGAAAGAATTTGTTTGAGAAGCAAAGGTGACGACAGTACCACATATGGAACAGGACTCTGTGACTGTTCCAGAGTGAGGTCACACATATGCAGTGTGCACACATATGTAAAGTGATGCACAGCTATGTGGTAGACCTATTTCTGGAGCTAGTCTTTCTTTAGACGAAGAGGGTCTAACCACACCCACATCCTTATTCCCAATGAAAAAATGTTCTCTCTTATCATTCTTCAGAAGGGAACCAAATAATAGAATGTTTTTCTACAGCTTCCCAAGCATTACCACTAGTAACGTGGTCATATTAAGTGCTTTTCAGTATTGAAAATACCCGATCCAGGAAGGGAGCCCCTTGCTTCTTTTCTGGAGATTTCCACCATCTCCTACTACCTTCACTACAATCCACCTACTGAGGATGGAAGGTTTGGAGATTGTTTTCTATCCATACTATTTCTGCTTTGGCGTTCAGTAGGGCCTGTTTCCTGAAGCTGAGCTGGGCAGTTGATGAACAGGGTAGTTGTTTTGAAGGCCTTGATTGTGAATGTTAGATTTGTGTTTAGGTATTAGTTTTACTGGAATCTTTATAGGTAACTACTTTTCTGGATGCTAGAAACTATTTTTAAAATCCTGGAGTTTTTAGGGCTATTAGCTACTCACTATTTTGAGGCAGCTAAGTGGCACAGTAGATAGAGTGGCAGGCCTGGGGAGTTCAACTCTGGCCTCGGGCACTTACTAGTTGTGCAACCCTAAGCAAGTCACTTAACCCTGCTTGCCTCAGTTTCCTCCTCTGTAAAATGAGCTGGAGAAGGAAATAGCAAACCATTTCAGTATCTTTGCTAAGAAAATCCCAAATGGGGTCACAAAGAGTCAGACGGGCATGAGAAATGACTGAACAACTCCTCCATCATAGGATTACTTAGCATCCTAGGTTTAAAGTTGGTAAAAGACCTTAGACCTAGCCCAATCCCCTCATTTTACAGATGAGTAAACTGAGGGCCCAAAGAAGTTAAGTGATCTGTTCAAAATTATACAGGTAACAAGTAGCAAAGGCAAGATTCAAACCCAGACCCTCGGAAACCAAAGCCAGTGCTCTTTCTACTAGGCTACATTGCTGCTAATATTGAAATATGATCATGTTAAGTATCACAAGTTGAACTGCATTTTGTCCTATCCCTTCCAAACCTACCAGTGTGGGTTTCCTTACACAAATATGATTTGTTGTTTGTTTGGGTCTTTTAGGTGCTAAAGGTCAAAGAGGGATTCCAGGATTCCCAGGTACAGATGGATTTATTGGGCTCAAAGGATTCCAAGGAGAGGCAGGTCGTGAAGGATTTCCAGGCCCACCAGGTAACAAGAAACACATCACACCTAACCCATTGGTCTCCAAAAATGATTTCTAGTTTCATCTACAGTAAACATATCTCCATTTTTTTCTTTACCATTTAAATGTTTCTTTTGACATATCATCATCTGCTTTCTATTTGTCTCTTGAATAAACATGGTTGACTCCTTCATGAAATAAGCTCAGCTATTGACCTATGTGCAAAGTTTTCCTTTGCCTAGCTCTGAATTTTCATGGAGAATACCTATAGAATTTATATAGAAGAGGAAAAACACTAGTTCAAAGAACTAGTAAAAGTTTTCCCTAAGTCAAATTCCTCTAGTTAATTTTAAACTTTTGAACAAAAAAATAAATCTCCTCTGAGTGTTCATTAATATTAATGGCACAGGTAGTCCTTTCATCACTTAAAATAGTGCCAAGCCACTTGTCGGACACTACTTTAAAAAGGTTTGCATTTTGTTACCTTTGCAATTCACTTATTTGCCAATTTCCAGGGAAAAAAATCTAGCATGTCAGCATTTTACTATACCAATGTTGTGGGATTGGCATCTAATGCAGGGTGAGGAATCTGCAGCCTCAAGGCCACATGTGGCCCTCTAGGTCTTCAAGTGTGGTCCTTTGGCTGTCCTCTAGGTCCTCAAGTGTAGCCCTTTCACGTTTGGATTCAGTCAAAGGGCCACTCTTGAGGACCTAGAGAGTCACATGTGCCCTCCAGGCCCCAGGTTCCCTACCCATAAATACAGAGTTTTCTTTATTGAGCAGTCAAAAAAAAATCAACTTCTCAAGTACTAGATAAGGGAAGCATTGGCAGTTGTTTACCAGAAAATTATCACAGAGTATTAGTGAACTACGAGATCAATATGAATCAAAGTTGTGATATAGAAAACAAAGTAATTGTATACTAAGGCTACATTAAAAAAAAAAAGGAAAGAATGAAAAACATTGCATTCAGGATTAGAGAGATCCTTCCTTACTACTTACTAACGTACCTATTTCTTTTCTCATCCTCAAAAAATTCTCACTTGATCCATATCCTTCCCCATTAGCCATTTGCCTATATCTCGCCTTTCTTTTGTGTCTAAACATCTTGAGAAGGTCTAGAACAACTGGTACTTCCATTTGTCTCTCACTCTCTTCTTAAGTCTCTGCACTCTGGTTTTCAAACCTCACCATTCAGCTACTCCTCAAAAGTTGCCAGTGACTTCTGAATTGCCAAATCTAATGCCTTTTTTTCAATCCTCATCCTTCTTGACTTCTCTGCAACCTTTGACACTATTGATCACCTTTTTCTCCCTGATACTCTCTTCTCTTTAGGTTTTAGTGACTCTGCTTTCTCCTGGTTCTCCCACCTATCTGACCATTCCTTTTCATTCTCCATTACTGGATCTTCTTCCCAGTCTCACCCTTGAACCATAGGTGTCCCTCTGTGCTCTGTTCTGGGCCCTCTTCTCCTTCTACACCACATTTTAATTGGTGATCTCATACACTTCAGTGGAGTCAACTATTGCCTCTATGCAGGTGATTTTGAGATCTCTTCATGCAGCACTAATCTTTCTCTTGACCTCCATTCTCAAATCTTTAATTGCCTCAAACCGGACATCTCATAAGCTTCTTAAACTTTTAAACTTCTTTCCTCTGACACTGTCTCCACCCTGGCAAGGGCCTTATCACCTCATACCTGCAGTACTCTGCTACTTGGTCTCCCTTCCATAAGTCTCTCCCCACACTAGTACATCCTCTACCCAACTGTCAAATTGAACTTACAAAAGCACATGTCTGACTGTGTCTCCTATTCAATAAACTCCATGGATTCCCTGTTATTTCCAGTATCAAATGTTAATCCTCTTTTTGGTTTTTAAAGCTCTTCATAACCTGAACTCTTCCATCTTCTCAGTCTTTTAAAACCTTATTTCCCTACACAAAGCCTGTGATCTGGTGACACTGGCTTCCTTGCTGTTCCTCATACAAGACATTCCATCTCCCAACTTTTCATCATTTTCATCAGCTGTCTCCCATGCCTAGAAGCCTCATCCTCTTCATCTCTGCCTCCTAGCTTCGTTGACTTCTTTTGAATCTTGGAATTATGCCCAAAGAGTTATTAAATTGCCTGTACTCTTAGACCCAATGTATCACAATGTATCAGTGACCCTGATTTATAGAGGAGCACACAAAGAAGGCAATTTGTCAATAATAAGCTCACAGATTCACATTAACTCGTCTCTATGTCTCATTGCACAGTTGCAGTAGAAAATGTTTATAAGCCATGACCCTGGGAACTATAATCTATAATCTAGAAAACTAGTAGACTCTTTTGGCCATGGATCCTGGAAATTGTTATCTAAAAAAAAGGATAACAAAATCTACCTTCCTTCTATCTAGCAATACCACTACTAGGTATATTTCCAAAGATGATTAGGGGAAAAGGAAAAGAACCTATATGTTCTAAAATATTTATAGTAGCTCCCTTTGTAGTGGCAAAGAACTGGAAATTGCACGAATGCTCATCAATTGGGAAATGGTGGAACAAGTTGTGGTATATGATTGTGATGGAATACTACTGTGATGTAAGAAATGATGAGCTCAATGATTTTAGAAAAATATGGAAAGATCTGCACAAAATAATAAAAGTGAAATGAGCAGAACCAAGTCCTGCCTTTTGCAAGAAGCCTTTATCCAGTCCTCATTAACTTTAGTGCCTTCTCTCAGAAATTATCTCCAATTTATCCTGTCTATATCTTGTTTGTATGTTATCTTCCCCCATTACACCGTGAGCTACTTGAGAGCCGAGGACTGGGTTTTTTTTGGGCCTTCCTTTACATCCCCAGAACTTAGCACAATGCCTGGCACATAGTAGGTACTTACTAAAAGTCTGTTAACTTGACTTCACTTGACCTGATAGTTCTAATGTACTCTACCCCATCAGACCACATCTGGAGTATTATTTTGCCCCAGTTCTAGACACCATTTTTAGAAACAATATCCATTGCTAGAGTTAGGGGGCTCCAGAGTAGGGCAGCCATGATGGTGAAGGGTCTCAAGTTCATGACTTCAAGGTTCAGGTATGTTTAGCCCAAAGAATAGAAAATAGACATGGTAGAATATAGCTATCTTCAAATATTTGAAGGGTTGTCATGAAGAAAGAAAGTACAAATTGAAGCTTTCTTTTTTTTTTTAATGTGACCAATCTGGGAATTTGTCATGCCCACCTATACATATTTGTAACAAGAGCTTTGTTTTCTTGCTTCTCAAGGAAGGGGAGGAGAAGGTAGAAGGAAGAGAAGATGGATTTTCATTTATTAAAAAATTTTAATATAAACATTTTTCATTTAAAAAAGCAAGTACTTGGATGGCAAGCTTAGTATGAATCATAGACATGATAAAGCAACATATATGCTGTACATCAGTTTTCCCTCACTCTTGCTACATGACCAGCCCACTTCTTTTCCCCAGCATATATCTGTTTCTCTGTTGATATCCTTCACTGAAAACTTGGAAATTAAGACCAAGTACAAAGCTATGTTGACATGAGTCATAGTTCGTGGATTAATATGCCAAAGTGAAATAGAGTTTGGAACCATTAGTCTAAATTAGTTTTAACAACATAGGTAGAAAATCAGATCCAGATATGTAAGGCCAATGAAAGGTTATATAGATATGAGTTTAAGTTCCCCATTTTCTCATCTTACTAGATGCTAATAGCCCTTAACATTCCCATAAAGTGTAGAGAAAATGTGATTTCTTTCATCATGCAAGTGAATTACTTCATTAAAACATTTAAAAATAGGAGACAGCTTAACTAATGCTCAATTAAAATAGAACTTTTACTCTTCTTTACTTTTACTCATACCTATTGGTCTAGTAGTTAATTCATCTTCCTCCTGCCAATTCCCCTAGAGTAATGTGACCCTGAGAAAATCCCCAAACATCATGCATTACACATCTTTTGTTAAAAATGGGCACAAAATACTGTTTTCACTGTGACTTCATCTTCTCGATATTTAATAATTTCCCACTATGCATTTGCTCATTGAAAAATTTTTGATGTAATTATGACATACTACAGAGCAGTAAGTAATGACCAAAAAAAAAAAAAGAAACACTCTTTTCTCTTGCTAAATATCTTACTGTCAGCATTCAGATACTGCATTCCATTTGAGGTCAATCAGCGTTCAGGGTATTAAGAAAGAAGAAATGTGATGGGGTAATTTGACCCACTAGTAGCAGTGAATTGCATAACCACTCAAGCATATGACATTCAACGTCTCTCCTTGTGAGTGCATCATAGCTGACTTTGTTTTGTTTTTTTTTTTTTTACAGTAAATTTCACACAAGGGACCATTGATTAATTCTTTATTGAAACAAAGGTCTCCAAAAAACTGCTGTCTCCTTAGGGATTTGTTACCAGAAGGAAATCTATAATCCAAGACATTTTAACTCTACGTTCTATGGTTGTTTTTATCTCCCTTTGATTTTGTATTGAAAAGTTTTATAGCAAGCAACACTTTCACATAGAACAAGACAGGTCATACCAAGTTTCTATGTTTTCTGTTTACTTTTTTAAAACAGAAAACGTGCGTAATAGCTTTATAAGATTCAGATAGTTTAAAAAAAAAAACTCCATCTCCTACAAATGTTAGGATTATGACCAGAAAAGGAAGGAACAAGAAGAAGCCCTGAGGATAGAATACTCATTTTATAAGAACTGTCTCATTGAAAGTGGCAACAGAAGGCCTAAAGATAGATCAAGGGAAGAGGTGCCTTGTCTAGACATGCTCTTTGGGGGGTTTTTGGTTTGTTTAAGAAAGAACAAATAAAATTAGAATTTCCATATAAAAAATAGAACAGATAATGTGAGTTGTACATGAAATCTGTAAATCTGTGTCTCATTCAGCCTACTTTTCCTTTGAAGTATATGAGAATATAATAATACTTTACTTTCAAAGCTCTCTGGTTTGTCTATTTCCTGCACTGGACTCTGTTCATTCACATCAGATCATAAAACTAGGCTTCCCTGAAACTACCCCTTTCATCATTTCTTATGGCATAGTAAATAAAATTCCATTACATTCCTATACTATAATTTGGTCATCCATTCTCCAACTGATGAACACTGCCTTAGTTTCCAGTTCTTTGTATAACCTCAAAAGTTGCTGCAAATATTTTTGTACATGAGGGTCCTTTTCCTCTTTCTTTGACCTCTTTGGGGGAAAGGTCTAGTAGTGTCATATTTGAGTCAAAGGATATACGTGGTTTAATAACTTTGGGGGCATAATTTCAAATTGCTTTCCAGCATGGTTGAACTACTTCACAACTCCACCAAAAGGTATATGTCCTTTGCAAAACTGTTCCATTTCAATCACACTTCTGATGTACTTTTAAACTGTATTATTCATGACCAATAGCTACAGTGGTTATCTATTTTTTCTTTTAGGATTTGTTGGACCCAGAGGATCCAAAGGTGCGACAGGGCTCCCTGGGCTGGATGGAAGTCCAGGAACTACAGGACTACCAGGTGCTGTAGGACCAACAGGACAAAAAGGACTACCTGGAGAAGTATTAGGTGCACAGACTGGTCTCCCAGGAGATCCTGGATTGCCTGGAATCCCAGGGTTGAAAGGAGAACTGGGAAACAGGGGACCTCAAGGATTTAGAGGTAAGTCTCCTTTTCAGTAAATCAGTGTTTGGAGGGTAAGAGCAGCAACTCTCCTTTGATACTAGAGACGTTAGTAAGACCTCTTAATCCTAATGGACTTGAACTTCCTTGTGTTGGTATAAAGAGGCAATATAATATATTACAGAGGCAGTATGATGAGATTGAAAGAATAAGAAGAGACCTTAGCTCAGTTCCTGTCTTGAATGCTGTTATATGTGTGTGGTTTTATATAATATATATAGTTTTATATACATAAACTATAGTTTTATATATATATGTGTGTGTGTGTACGCATAACTATATCGTAAGTACATTGTTTTACATAGATATATAGATGGTCTCAGTGAGGTTAAGAAAATTGTCCATCATTATACATAGTTTGGAATGTGTCTGCATGGGGGGCGGAGTGGGAGTGTCTATGTGTCTGTGTGTCTGCATATTTAACATGGACAAGGTTCTTAACCTCACTGAAACCATTTTCTCATTGATTAAATGGGGATGGTGATAATACCTGCTAGAAAAATCTGAAACAAAAATCTACTACAGAAGTGAGTGAAAGAAAGCCTTTATTACACTTCTCATGAGAGTAGCAGGCATGTAAGTGCTATTTCAGTGGTACAATCAACTTTTAAATGGTTAGTAAGAGCCATACTCCACCCACCAGGGCTAGGATTGGTCTAGTTCATCTGAGTTACACTCTTTCTGGACAGCCCATCTCATGTTCCTCCATGTTCTGTTAACTCCTCCCACTTTATGCATCACATGTTCAAAAATGGCGGCTATCTCTGCCCTCCAGGTGTGTCAGTTAATATTCATTAAGCTTATTAAGCAAGCACAGTGGAGAAAAGCTTTTGCCCTGTCAAGGTCCCGTCCTTGACCCTGACGGTTTGCAACTGGTTTAGCCTCCAGGTTTAGCCTCTTTGTTAAGGAACTAGTTGTTTGCAGAAGTTTGGGGCACTTTCTGATTGGTTGAGGGACTATCCACAAGATCTTGGAAGTCCTCAGAATCCCCTTGTTCTGTTGTGGAAGCCTAATTTCTAATCTTTTCTTTCATACCTATAGGACCTACCTTAGAGGTTTATTGTAAAGATCAAATAAGATATTATATGTTAAGTAGTTTGTAAAACTTAATGCATTATATCACCATCAGCTATAATTCTAATAGTAGGTGAAAGGATACAACAATGTTGTCTGAATTTTACCATAATGAGTTCTCCTGTTTAGTTTCAGTATTCATCTGAAATACTTTTCATGATAATAATGATAATATTGTCTGTTTGTTTGCATCCTCTAATTTAGTTCAATATGGTCCATTTTGTTATTTTAAATTGAAGGTGAAGGAGGAAGAAAGGAGCTTAGTCCTCCTAGGTATATAATAACTGAAAGAGCTTTGGGCAGCTAGGTGATACAACAGATAGAACACCAGTCCTGCCATCAGGAAGACCTAAGTTCAAACCTGGCCTCAGGCTCTTATAAGCTGTGTGATCCTGAGCAAGTCACTTAACCCCATTTGCCTCAGTTTCCTCATCTATAAAATGAACTGGAAAAGGAAATGGCAAACCACTCCACTATCCTTGTCAAGAAAACCTCAAATGGGGTCATGAAGAGTCATACACAACTGAAACTACTGAACAACAAAAAAGGAAATTTGAGTTTACAGCCAGAACACCAGAATTCAAATCCTGATCCCTCCATTTACTACATATGTGACCTTAAGTAAATTTGTTCACATCTCTGGGCCTCAGTTTCCTTATCTTTAAAATAAGGGAGTTAAGCCAGATCCAGCTATGAGATCCTACTAAGGGAATATGACTCAGGTGATAGGTGGGGTTTAGCCCAATAATTCAGAGGTCTACACTGAGAGTTAAGAGGCAGGATATAAGTGATTTCAGATTCATTTCAAATGAATGCCTTTAAAAACCCATTATGTACTTGCTGCATGTAATGTTATTAATATTGGTTTGACAAGTTAGCTTGCATTAATTTTATTTGACATAGTCTGAACCTGGGGTCAATTTAAATATGCAAATGTATACTAAATCGGCATTTAGAGTCAAAAGCCTTGGCACTTAATAAGGGATTGCATTATAAAGACTAAGCATTCATAGTCATACTGAATGCCAAAGACATCTATATTACACTGAAATATAGAAAGCATCCACCACTACTTGGTCCATAGCAAGATAAGTATACAAATGACATCTTCTGGCTAGAGGGGATGTAAGGAGCCAGGTGGCTGTCCCGATCACAGACAGAGTGGCAGGTTGCATTTATGATACGACTGGAAGGAAACGGATGGATGATCCCTTAGCTCCATTATCACATCAAATGGCCTGGCTGAAGTATCTGAAGTATCTTCTAGCAAAGTCAAATGTTATCTGGAATAACATATTAACTTGATTTTATCCATTAACACTAAAATACAAAATAGCCTTTTGTCATTCACAAAGCAAACTTCTGAGGAAATGAGACATCGTACAAGTAAGTTTTGATTGAGGAGATAACATGTTAACAGGTTTGGAGGATGGAATAATGCCAAAGTGGATTGTAAGAGTGGGAGCTCCCAAGGCATCTTCAGAGTAGCGTGAGAATATTTCGTATCCAGAAGATTGAAGGTGGAGAACCACTTTTTAACCTAAGATCTGCCTAACACTGTTTTTTAGGGTTGTTTTTTTGTTTGGTTTGGTTTTTCTTTTTGGAGGATTTTAGAAGGGGTGTTGTTGGGGTTTTTTTATTTAATTTATGACTTCATGGGAATAAGGGATTCTCCCACCAATACAGATCAACACCCTCTCTCCAATAGGCTTAGAGAGTTTCCAGGGATACTGAAAATATACGTGAGTTATCTAGAAGCATGTGGCTTCCGTGTATCAAGGCAAAGACTTGAACCTAGTTCTTTCTGACTCTAAGACTGAATCTCCAACCACTTGGACATGCTGTGACTAGCCCTCACTGTAACCTAAGTTCACTAGAGAAAGGAACTACCAAATTGACATGCCGAGCCCTTGTCTCCTTGTCAGTCAATATATTAGAAAGCTGTAGGTTTCTATATTAAAAGTCAATCAGGAAGAGAACCAATTGAGGAAATGGTAATAATGAAACAAAGAAATGCCCAGCATTGTGAAAGATGTCACGGGATCTCTTAAATAAAAGTGAAAATTACAAATTCTCAAGAAAAGCAGAACAGGGCAAATGTATCAGCATTCCTATAATCAATCTATGTTGCAACCCTCCTAGACAATCGTGTCCCTGGTAGTTGTTGGTTTTAAACAAACCTAAATATTTCCTGTAGGCTTCATGTTGTCTTAGTTTAAAAATGTCTGCAGAATTATTTTAGATGTTTAAGAATCTCTAGCTCCTAGTGCTACCTTTATGGCCAGTTTTATAAGCCTTGTGTAGCCAGTGCTCTCAATTTTTTTTTTTAAATCAAACTTTCAACACATCAGAACTTAGAGTATAACTGCGTGTGGTCATGAGGAAGTTCAGCAATATTATAAGAACATAGCTCTTCCTCCTTCTGGTGTGATGGAATATATATTTGAGTATAGTTTAAAATATGAAACACATAACTATAAATATACTTGGGCTTAAGTGGTACAGTGGATAGAATGCCAGGCCTGGAGTCAAGAAGATAAGTCTTCCTGAGTTCAAATCTGACTTTAGGCACTTACTACGTGTGACCCTGGGTAAGTCACTTCACCCTTTTTGCCTCCATTTCCTCATCTGTAAAATGAGCTGGAGAAGGAAATGGCAAAACACTGCAGTATCTATCTTCGCCAAGAAAATCCCAAATGGAGTCATGAAGAGTCATACACAACTTAAACAACTAAACAACAACAATGTAAGTGTGTGTATGTGCGCACACATACATACACACACACAAATCTGTGTGTATACAAACACACACACACAATGCACTCTTGGATTCAGCACTAACCATTCTGCACCTAGGTACAGATGGTTATAGTTCAATGTTGTGTGTTTACAAAAAAGCTAGGAGTGTGCTGGGTGAAACCAGCTTGAACCAGCTGTCAAGAGCAGATTGTTAAATTTCAGTGTGAATATTTACACCCCAGATATTAGTAACTGCTACAAATCAGGGTTTATTTTACTATTTTCTTGAGCATAAAGAAAGTGATGGAGAGAATGTCAATAATGCAGATTATATTTAGAGGTGTACTGTGCATATAGCTTTACTCTTCCCAAGCCAGTTGTTAAATATTTACCAGCACACTCACAAAGCTATTAGTTTTGCTCAGCAATTGAATCCCTATTAACAGATATTCCTTTAGAGGATCATAGAATCATAATCTAGAACTGGAAGGAAATTATCCCCCAAAATATTTAATAAAAAAGCAATAATAGTAGCAGCAAATGCAAAGTGGAAAACATTCTCTGTTTTTTTATTTCTGACCTGAATGGATTTTTCTGCTGGCATAACAGCATCGAAAGGTATAGTTTTGAAAGATATAGTCTGTGGTTCAGGGCCATCTCATAGTAGCTCTGTGTGTGTGAGAGAGACAGAAAGAGACAGAGACAGAGAAGAAAATTTTTACAAACCAGAGGCTATTACCACCACCCCAATCTTCCTCAAAAGCCTGTGATTTCTTTCTTAGCCCCCTCAGCTTATGCCAACTCTAAATGTTACTTGGATAAACTGGCCCATCAATGTTTACTCCACAGACTTTCTGGAGGAAGCCAGATATCTGTGAGGCAGGAGAACCTTGATTTTAGCCTCTTGACTTCACAGCCCATAGCACAGCCTACTTTTAAAAGTCATTTAACAATCTGTCAGCATTCATTCTCCTTTTCCTCCTCTCTGGCCCCCTAGATATCAACTCAGCAGACAGAGAAGGGATAGGATAAAAGAGTAGGTGCCCTTAGCAGCAGAGCTATGCCCTTGGTGACAGTATGCTGTAGTTACATGAATTCTGCTCATAATCCTATTATTACTACTAACGTTAGTGGTAATAATAACTCATGTTTATGTAACACATTAAAGTTCCTAAAACATTTTATGTACACTATTTCCTCTGAGCCTCCTGATGGGCTCATGAAATAGCTGCTTAAGCTTTTGTCCTTTGGGCATTGGCATGGGTCAGTGCGTCCAGCCCAGGACTCAGTGTCAGGGAGGCTGGATCCTCAGTCCAGGAGTCCTTTGGGTCAACGTCACCTCAATTCCTTTTCATTTGTTTTTCTGTTTTCTCCCACTGATTTCCCAGTGGCTTCCCCTCCTGCCTTTGACTCCAATGTGAAGACTCTACCTCGTAACAAGAAGTATACTAAATCAAAATAAATACATTTGTCGTTGTTTAGTCATTTTCAGTAATGTCCAACTCTTTGTGATCTCATTTGGGGTTTTCTTAGCAGAGATATTAGAGTGGTTTGCCATTTCCTTCTCCAGCTCATTTTACAGAGGAAGAAACTGAGGTAAACAGGGTGAAGTAACTTACCCAGGGTCACATAGCTAGTAAGAGTCTGAGGCTTGATTTGAACTCATGAAGATGAGTTTTCTTGACTTCAGGCCTGGCATTCTATCTGCTGCAACACAGTGCCCCAAATAAGTGCATTAGTCATGTCCAAAGCTCTTTTCTTCATTCCACATCCCCTCTAAGAGAAGGAAAACATTCTTCACTATCAGGCTCCTGAAGTCGCAACTTAACATTTGAAATTCCTTTTATCTATTTATTTACTTTGGTCTGGATCTCTGATTTTACTAGTATAGGCAACCAGTGTAGAAATTCTCTTCACTAACACAGATCAGCAAGTTTACTTGTATTGTACAAGTGTAATTGTAACTTAAAGTCCTTGACAGTTCCTCAAGGCACTGAGACGTTAAGTGAATTGTACCATGAGGCCCCCGCTAGCACATATCAAAGATAGGACTTGAACTCAAGTTTTCCGGACTCCAAGATTGGCCCTCTTGGGCCAATTATGATATTACTCTTACCTCATGCTACATTTTTCTAATTTGTAAGATTGCAATTATATTCTTCGTCATGTATCTTCTACAAATGGCCACTGTGAGGTCAATCTGATTCTATCTGGTAAGATGTTAAACATTGGGCAAAAAGATTTTGTTATTAATAATTTATAGTAATTTAATTTTATATGTTATATCATAATATAATGTTTATATGTTATATGTTATATAATAATATATAAATATTATATATTAACATATAATTATATACTTATATTATTGCTATATATCATATATAATAGTAATATATTACACTACTTATTATATAACATAATTTATTATATTTGTATGTGATGATGCTTTTTATTAATGAGTTATTGTTGTTTATTATAATTTATTATTAATAATTTACAGATTTGGATATGTAAACCCATTTTTCTGATTTTCTACAGGAAGCCCAGGTATGCCTGGAATGCCTGGGTTGAAGGGTCAGCCTGGATTCCCAGGTCCTTCAGGTCAACCTGGATTACCAGGGCCTCCCGGAACACATGGCTTTCCAGGACCTCAAGGCCAAGAAGGACTACCAGGTCTTCCAGGCCCTTCAGGGTTTGCAGGTAGGTAACAATCTGCACTCAGGACACTAGTTTTCATCCAAGAAAACAATCATGTCTGCTTTTTAAAGTTCTGCATTGGCTTCTCAGGACAAGCTGGAGATTTATAATGCCTCTTACTTTGAATCTGGAGTTGTCAGGATCTTGTTGGGACTCCTGTATTTGAGGACATCATGGCAATACCATTCCACTGGACTCTTCTGTACCCTACTTTCAAAACAGCCCACAGCTTGTCTCCTCATCCCTACTTATTCATCCCTCCCTCCTGCCCTCTTTAGCAGTTACACTTTTTCAACCTGGCCCTTTTCAAGATACTTCCTACCAATCATAATCCTCTTCTGGTGTTATTACCACTATGAAGCCAAGCATTCAACCTTCTTGGGAAGGTATAGTCTAGGGAATTTTTCCAGTGAGTGATTCTCTGTCAATCCTATACTAACAATACGGAAAGTGAAATTCTGGGAACTCTTTATTTAGTTGTGCCTACTACATTGTGTAAAGCTGGCCTGCACAACCTGCAGCCCGCTGAAGGATTTCAGGCAGCCTGTGAAAAATGTAGAGGAAAATATCCTTTACATTTTTTGCAGGCCCCTCAAAATCCTTTGGTGTGCTCACAGACCATAAGTGGCCCACGGGCCACAAGTTGTGCAGGTGTGGTCTAAAGCAACAGTTCTTAGCATTTTTTTGGTCCTGGTCTCTTTGGCAATCTGGAAAACCCTTTTCAGAGTAATGTTTTTAAAATGCAGAACATAAGGGGCAGCTAGGTGGCACAGTGGATAGAGCACTGGCCCTGAAGTCAGGAGGGCCTGAATTCAAATCCAGCCTCAGACCAAACACTCGACACTTATTAGCTATGTGACTCTGGGAAAGTCACTTAACCCCAATTGCCTAAAAAATAAATAAATAAATAAGTAAAATGCGGAACATAAAATTTGTAGCTGTTGTTCTGCTGTTTCAGTCACATTCAACTCTTCATGACTCCATGGACCTCTCACCATAGGGTTTTCTTTTCAAAGATACTAGAAGGTTTTGCCATTTCCTTCTCCACAGAATACACAGGATTATGAAGGGAAAAAATTGAAATAAATTTGTCATTTTTCTTAAAGTTTGAGAATCCCAGGTTAAAAACTCTATTCTAAATAAATGCTTCTTGGTGCCTCTAGGTAAAAAAGTCCCCTATAGGTGTGTATTCAGAGATATAAGAGTACAGGAGACCACACTATGTTGGAATCAGTTTCCCCAAGAAGTCCTCTGGCCAAGTATCCAATCAGGAAGGCTCCTACACCAAAGAGTTGATCCTTTCTATTCAGGCTTTTTGGCTATTGGTCAATTTTCAAACAGTGAAAGTTCTTATTTCTAAGCAATGCTGGCCTACCTTTAAGCCCTTCACTTTTGCAAAGTGAAATAAGCAGAACTAAGAAAACAACATACACAATGATTTCAGCAATGTAAATGAAAAGAACAATCTGAAAAGGAATGTTGCAACATTATTAAGAACAATCTGAACCCCAACAAAGTGATAAGAGAAAACACCTCGGCCCATTCATTGGCAGAAGTAGGAGGGCAGCCCCTGGGTCTGAAACATTGAGCATGTTGTCATTTTTAAAAATACAGTGATAGTTTTGCTGATTTTCCTCCTTACTCCTTTTTTTTCTTTTTCTTCTTAAATAATCCTTTGTTTTGTTGTTATATTTATTGTATTTTAGGAAGGGGAAGGATACAGTGGGAAATTTTGGCAAGTGAAAAATAAAAAAATGGCCACAAAATTTATCTGAAAAAAGAATCCTTTCTAGCACACAATGTACACAGGAAATGTTGAATGACAATGCAAGGCAGCATTGAGACAAGCCAAATGAATGCCAAACTAGTACTCTAAGAGTTCAGGGAAGGAAGCTGTCATTGAGAACTATAGTAATTTAGGAAGTCTGTATTAATGAGAAAATCCACTGGCTTTGCAGTGAGAGTACCTAGGTTCAAATCTCTGCTCTGGGGCATCATGCCTGTGTGACCAGAGCAAATCAGCTAACATTTCTGGGCTTCCATTTCCTCTTCCTTATAAAATGGAATTGAAATGAGGTCCCTTCCAGTGCAAAATCTGTGATCAGACTTGAGCTGGACTCTGAAGGAGCAGCAGAAGTTAGCTAAGCAGAGAGAAGAGAGATAAAGCCAGTCAAAGGGAACTGGGAGATCAAAGAAATCAGCAATCATGCTTACGGAGCGTTCAAAAGCCTGACGAGAGTCGAAGGCTGTTGACAGTAGACTGGGAGGGTTAGGGATTGTTTCCAACTTTAAAAGTTTGAACTTTATTCTGTGGGCAACATGGAGCTTTTGAAGGTTTTTGAGAAGGGAATGTACGTGATCAACATGATGTTTTAGAAAGATTATTCTGATGTGAGAGGTCCAGAAGGATTGCAATAGAAAGAAACTAGAGGCAGGGAAAACCAGTTCCAGAGCTCTTGAGAGAGCTCAAGTGTGAGGAAATAAGGGCTTGAATTTGGGTAGTAACATTAGAAATGGAAAAGGGACTGAAGCAGAAGTCAGGGCAACCAGAGAGGAGAGCTCCTCTAACCCCCATTGACATATATGAGGTAGTCAGAAGGAGGGGAAAGACAGCCAGAAGACAAGGTACCATCTACCAACATTGAGGAACCACCATACCTAACCTGACTAGCAGGTAAAGTAGGGAGCAACCCCAACCCCACCCCATCCATAAATATCAACCCCTACCTTGAGGAGCTATAATTATTTATAATATCATTGAAGACTTTTTAGTCTTCAAGTTACATGTGGAGTACAGTAGGTGGGGTGGAAGGATAGGAGAACTGAATTTCTGCATGGAACGAGAAGGTAGCATGAGAACATAAAAGGAAACTAATAAGGGAGGTAGAATTGTACCACAAAATAAACCTCATCGATTTCATAGTTTTGTCCCAGGACTGGCCCTGGCCACGTCACTCAAAATAACTTCACATGCCAGTATTGGCATGCACACTATAGGTTGCCAACCTTTGATAAGTATAAAATTCTCTTAGAAATTTTCAACTTAGAAAGCTTCTATGCTAATTTTTTCAACATGTCCATAGTTTCCTATCTTACTACTAAGAAGTTTTCCCTTTGGAAAGCCCTCATCCCTAATTCTTTTGCTTTTCGCATTTACTTATTACATTCTTACTTGTTGTAATTTGTGTACAAAACATTTTCTCTCTCCTGGAGCCACTATCAGTAAGTTCCCTAATGGAAGGGTGTGTGTGTGTGTGTGTGTGTGTGTGTGTGTGTGTGTGTGTGTGTGT